GATGGAGCTTTCACGCTGTCACTGTGTCGCTGTTCCTTATAGTATTTCCTCCAGGTGTCTTGCGAGTACACTTTGTTCAGATTAAAGGAGTTCCCTTGTTGCATAGTAGAGAAATGAGCCTGCCCAAGGAGAGGTCTGGTCTTTGCCCCTGGATCCTGGGAGGTGATCTCAAAACCCTTGGGATGTCCTGCCTGTGGGCAGTGTCTGTTTGCCAGGGGCCTGGGGCCACAGCACATAGTGTAAGATGTGATTTAGGGTGGGGGCCTTGGGTCATTTGGTGTGTAAGCCCCATGCATGGACCCTCCTGGACCCTGCCCCAGGCACCTCTTCCTCTGGCTGACTTTAATGTGTATACTTTCATGGTGATAAACCATGACTGTGAGTATCACAGTTTTCAGCGAGTTTTGAGTCCTTCTAGAGAATTACTGAATCTGAGGGTGGTCTCGGTAACCCCCAAGCTTGCAATGGGTGTCAGAAGTGAGGGTGGTCTTGTGGACTGTTTCTAACTTTGCATTTGTATATCTAGTTTGCTAAGTATTTTATCATGAATGTGTGTTGAATTTTATCAGATGATTCTTCTCCAGCTCCTTGACATCTTCAATTTGCTTTTTCTCCTTCATTTTGTTAATATAATAGATTATGTTGGTTGGTTTTGGAGCGTTAAATCAACCTTCCACTCCTGGAATAAACCTCACTGGGTTATGATGTATTCTCTTTTTTATATATCACTGGATTTGATTTGCTAATATTTTGTTTGGAATTTTAAAGTATGGTCATGAGAGAGATTAGCTTGTAATTTTTCTTTCTTGTCATCCTTTGCAAGTTTTAGCACCAAGGTTAAGTTGGCCCTTTAGAACAAGTTGGGAAGAGTTCCTTCTTTGTTATCTGGAAGGCTTTGTGTAAGATTGATGCTATTTCTTCCATTTGAGTCTCTCTTATAGATTTTAGTTTTCCTTGTAGAAATTAATAAAAGAAACCTTAACTAAATTAGAGTTGGGAAGGCCTGCAGGGGGAGCTCTCATGCTCTAGCATACATCATCAATCACACCAAACAGGAAGAAACAGACACTTGCATCTGGGATAAGAAGTAAAACTACTTTACTACTTAAGGAAGATTTCTCTCCCCACCTAGCAACAGCCCAGCCAATGAGAAACACCACAGCTCAGCCAATGAGAAATGCCACAGCCCAGTCAATGAGAAATGCTGCAGCTCAGCCAATGAGAAGCCCTTGCCACCCTGAACTGTTACTTTTCCCCAATGGACTTTCCTTTGGAACAGCCCCTCCCTACTCTCCCCTTTTCTCTATAAAAGCAGCTCCCCTCCTTTGTTTGCTGGATTTGCATATGATTTGCTGTAGCTCCCACATCCCAAAATGCAATTCTTTCGTCTATTCCCGAATAAATTCATTTTGAGATAAAATAAAAAGCAAATTTGCTTTTTAAGTTGACATTGTCATTAATTTTCTTGAATACAATGATTACTATTTTTAAAAATCTGATAACTCCAATATTGGAGTCACCCATGAGTCTATTTGTATTATCTGTTTTTTTTTCCCTTGTTTTTCTGCCATTTTTTGGTCTTGTGTCCTGGTGTGCCTGTCAATTTTTTATTTTATGCTAAACATTTTGGGTGAAAAAAAGTGGAGGCTCTGGAAGATATTACCTTACTCCAGAGAGTATTTTTGATCTTTGTCAGTCTGATAGCATAAAACGGCATCTAGTGTAGCTTTTTTTGTGTGTGTGTGAGGAAGATCAGCCCTGAGCTAACACCCAATGCTGATCCTCCTGTTTTTTTTGCCAAGGAAGATTGGCCTTGAGCTAACATCTGTGCCCATCTTCCTCTACTTTATATGGGACGCCGCCACAGCATGGTGTGACAAGTGGTGCCTTGGTGCGTGCGTGGGATCCAAACCTGTGAACCCCGGGCCGAGGAAGTGGAGTGTGCCCACTTAACGGCTTGAGCCACCGGGCCGGCCCTAGTGTAGCTTTAATTTGCATTGCTCTCATTCTGAGGCTGGGTGCCTTTTCACCAGTTTATAAACATTTTATTTCCTTTGTTCTGAACTGTGTGTTAATACCCTTTGCCAATTTTCTATTGGTTTGTTGATCTTGTTTTCATTCACAGGATGTCTGTGTATTAAGCAATTTAATCTTTTGTGTGGCATGTGGCTAGAGACAAAATTTTTCCCTATTCTTTCCTCTTCGTTTGACATGTATACCTTTTAAATTTGCGTGTAGCCACAGTGATCACAGACCATTGTCTTTCACCTGCAGTAACCAAATTGGACTTTCTACTGCCACCCTCCTCCCAAATCTATTCTCAAAAGTGATTCTTTTCAAGCCCAATTCAGGACCTGTTCCTCTTCAGCACAACCCTCCAGTGGTCTCCATCTCAGAGGAAGCCCAAGTCCCCCCACCCCCACCCTCCACTTAAACTTTCCAGGATCACAGATTTCTCACTCCATCAGGCTCTCTCTTGCCTCAAGGACTTGTCCCGGCCCGTCCCTCTGCCTGGAATTCTCTTCCTCCCTTCCTTATGGTGTGATGAATAAATGAAAAGCAATAAGAAATATTGGAGGTATGAGGACACCATTTGGTTTAAAACTAATTCAGCCTGACCTTGTTTTTCCAGAAAGGCCTGACGTGGCCTGTCGAGCATGCACTGTACATCTGCCCTAAACATTTACAGTGACCCATAGCCGAGAATGATGCCCTTAAAGATATCCTCCCCATATCAGCATTTCTTTGTAGATAAGCATTTCTACCCAGAAGCTGAGGATTCATTACTGACCTCCTGTGCTCATCTTGTGATCACTGACCCGCAGTGCTAGGAAAACATCTTGTGACTGTAGTAAAAGGTATATTGCCATCATATTTGATGCATGTTCCTTGTTCCAAGACAATGCATAAGCACTCTGTACACCCCGCTTCTTCCGAGTGCTTTCTTCCTTGGGGAAGGTCATTCCCTCAAAGCTGGCTCATATAATAAACTCACCCCAATTTTGATTTGTAGATTGATTATGGATTATTTGTGTGGACAGGTGTCTTCTCAGAGGCCCCCTTATCCTAGAGGCCTGTATGAAAGGGTCCTCGCCCCACCTTGGCTTTTTCTAACAGCACTCACCACTGTGGTTGGTGTATATGCATCTGGTATTTCCTCACCCCCCATCACGTGACAGGAGAGTGTTGGCACTTTACTTGGTTATCACTGCAGCCGTGGCCTGCAGTCGAGAGACGGTACTTGAATTAATAAATTCAGGATTTTGTATCCTATTTATGACCTTTTCCACCAAGAAATTTTTTTTTTTTTCTTTAAATCTCCCCTGCTTTCTACTTTTACGGTTTCACTTCATTTCCCGGTCCTCTTCCCCCTCGCCAAACCCCTTCCCCTAACTCCTCCCCTTCCCCTGCCTACAGCGCCTCCCAGTCCTCCTCCCCCTCCCCCATCTTCCCGGTCCTCTCCCTCCCACATTCCGCCGCCCCGCCCCCGAGTGGATCTGCGCAGGCGCACTAGGGCCGCGCGCGGAGACCTGGGAGCCAGCGGAGGCGGGGCGGTGGAGGGCGCGGGCCCCAACGGCCAACGCGGCCGCGCGGGAACACGCGCGCCAGGCCCCGCCCGCGGTTTGAACCGGAGGCCCCGCCCCCTGGCTCAGCCAATCAGAGGTCGGGGCGGCCGGCGCCATGGCGACCCTTTGTGGG